CTGGAGGTGCGGGGGAGGCCTGTGTGCATGCTGTCCACGTGTGCGGTGTCTGCGTGTGCCGTCTGCATGCGTGCCGTCTGCGTGTGCTGTCTCCACCTGTGCCCTGTGCCCGCGTGCTCGGGTAGGGGCCCCCAGCACAGCGATCTGGACTTGGCCCTGAAGGCTCCCCTCTTAGGAGGGTAACTTGGAGCACGCACACGGATGCGTCTTCTGACCTCCAGCCACCAGGTACCTGGTGTGCTCTGGCCCAGCCTGGGACTTGGCGCCCCATCCTGGGGCTCTTGCCGCCTTGGAACTCTCTGTTGGCTCTTCACTCCACGGAGTCAGTCCAGACGTTGGCCTGGGGGTCTCTGTTGTCCCCTGTCACCTTTGGGAGCCTGCTGTTTCCCGGGTACAAGGTTGGGAATGCAGAATTCACTGGAGCAGCAGATCTGCTCTTTGCCAGAGCACTTGGTGCTGTGGCTTGGGACTGCTGCTTTTCCACGCGCTTCTCTATCCTGTCTTCAGCCCACAAGGTGGGGCAGGAGGGGAGGCGGGAAGCAGGTATGGACCCCACGATGGGGGCAGGAGGAGGGGACATGGTGTGGACCCCACGAGGGGAGCAGGAGGCGTGGACATTTTCCTTCCTGAAGCTTTCTGGGAGGGGCTGGGGCCTCCGGACTCCTGCCCTGGTCCCCCGCTGGATCACTTGGCTGGGCAGTCTGCAGCACAGCACTCTGCTTTCCCACAGCACCCCGCTTCCCCACAGCCGAGTGTTCTCACCTGAAAGCTGAGGTGGAATGCTCACTGCGATCTTTTTAAGGTGGCTGTGAAGTAGCTGACGCTGAAATAATGGATATGAATCTGTTTACTAGTCGTAAAGCTTTGTATAAAACTGTAGTCACGTCATCTTCAGATTCAGTGGCATGGGCTCTGAAAACCCCACCGAGGGAGGATGAGAACATTATTATAGGCAGGTAACGCTGGGGACCAAAGACAGCCACAAGGAAGCCTAATAAACGCCTCATTACGCGCAGCCAGGCTGGAGTCACAGCAAATACTGTTTTAGTGCAGTTCATCGTTCCTTAATCTGTTGTTATGAAGAATATATATGGAACAGCATTGGCCAGTTCAACTTTTTTTACACGTACAATTGAGTAACACCAAAACTCGGAACTTCTAAAAGTCTGTCTCCTTCACAGATTTTTAGTAGGTGCTTGTAGGTTAGTTTTGCTTTGTTTCAGAACACACGTGCAGACTTGCGCACACGCGTACCACACACGTGCACACGCAAACTAAAAGGCATCCCCCCTCATCTTTTTTTCTCAAATGATTGATGCCTTTCTCATTTTACGACGTTGACTTTTAACCCGTGCTGTCTGAGTCTGGTCGTCATCTTCCAGAAGGCACAGAATAATTTGGTTGCTTGAGAAGAAACAGGCATTAGGCAGTCATTACTTGGCTGTTCACCAAAAGGTGGGTGGTTCGAACCTGCTGAGCCAGCTCCATGGGAGAAGGACCTGGTGATCTGCTCATGCAGAGATTCCAGAACCCAAACCAAACATGTTGTCGAGGTGATTCTCACTCATAGAAACCCTGAAGGACAGGGTAGCACTGCCCCATAGGGTTTCCAAAGCTGTAATCTTTGTGGAGGCAGACCGCTACATCTTTTTCCCGCAGAGCAGCTGGTGGATTTGAACCGCTGACCTTTCCAGTTAGCATCCAAGCGCTTAACCACTGTGCCAGAGATGATTGTTGTTAGGTGCCGTCGAGTCAGTCCCAACTCATAGCGACCCCACGTATGACAGAACTAAACACTCCCGGTCCTGTGCCATT